CGTGCTTGTAGCAATTAGTTGTTTCTGGATTTGGTCATTCTGTTACAATTATAGTTTTCTTTCAGAACTTCTTGTTCATGTTTTTTTTTTTTCATCCTGCCTTACTTCTTTTGTCAGCATCCGGTCCTGCCTTACCATTGAGTGTCGACAAAGCACCTTTTTATGGGCCATATCTCCGTTGTGTTCCTTTTCTAATTTCCCAGTTTCTGTTGTGAGTTATGGCATTAGCAGTCCCTTGGTTCAGATGTTGGATTTGTGTATTATAAATTTGAATTTTATGCCTTCTGTGTTCGTCAGACTGACATTTTCTGAAGACCCATCCTAATTTTTAAACTATTTATTGTGAATCCAAGAGCTGCACCTGAATTATTTTGAATCCATCCATATTCTCCTATAGGTAGTCTTATGTATAGAAAGTTATATTAAGTTGCTATGTCTTTTATTTTTGCGAATATTTGTAATTCTAATGCTTTGATTCATCAGGTCACAGGATTTGTTTAGGTGAAGGCAACGCTGAAAACACGTTAGTATATATCTGCAATTTGCTTCTTGTAGCGTATGGCTTCTGTGGGATTACCTCCTGCATCAGCAGTAAGGAAATCCAATGGCAGTGCTATAGGTGTGGATAAACTCCCAGAAGAAATAAATGAGATGAAGATTAAGGATGATAAGGTGGGGGCTGTACTGATACCCCTCTGTGTTTTCAATAGCAGGTCTATTTTAGTATCATTTGGTTTTGATGTCTCTTTTACCCCATTTTCTTTTCTATGTTTTCTCTTTTAAAGTTTTTTGGCTAAAATAGTAAAACATTTCGTAGGAGATGGAAGCCAATGTCGTGGATGGGAATGGCACAGAGACGGGGCAAATTATTGTAACCACAATTGGTGGTAGGAATGGTCAGCCTAAGCAGGTAGGCCTTCTTTACACTTACACCATGTAGATTCTGCTTTCCCAAGATTGCTTGCAGTCAGGAAGATGGAAGAAGTAGGGAGAACAGAGGTTGCTAATTAAAACTAAAGAAGTAAAGAACAAAAATATAGTAGGATAATATGTAGAACTCCAAAAGATACAGGAAAACAACTGACTAGCACCGTAGATGAATATGCTAGGAGATTACTTCATCCATTTTATAATGTGATACTGTTTAGAATGAGGAACAAAATACTTGGAGAAGATGGGAGTCACACCAACCAAATTAGCACTATGGGAAATTATTTATACTGTCATATCCTAGTATGCAGGAAAAAGATATCAAGGGCAGAGAAATATCTGTTTCTGCTCCCTCTTTATGTTTTAGTTTGACTATTTGGAATCTGTTATCTGCCTCTTAGTTTCCTTTTGTCACTGGCTGTGTCCAATCTTATGTAATCGGTCACCATAAATGATTATATAATGGTATCTTGCATAATGGTTAGTTTTCTTGCTGGTAATTTGCCATTGTTAGAGTTTGATTTCTGTTTTCTGATAGATTTTTCTTCTTCATATCTCAGAACATAAGTTATATGGCAGAGCGTGTGGTTGGACATGGATCTTTCGGGATTGTGTTTCAGGTGAACCTTGAATGATATGTCAAAACTCTGCCGATCTTGTTTCTCTTTCAGACAACTATTACTATCGGTAGATAGGATGGATGCCTTTGTGTCATGATAAATTTTTTTGCTTGTCACTGCCTTTTTTCTTGACAGGCCAAGTGTCTAGAAACTGGAGAAACAGTGGCTATTAAGAAGGTGTTGCAGGATAAGCGATACAAGAACCGTGAGCTGCAAACAATGCGCCTTCTAGATCATCCAAACATTGTGTCTCTCAAGCATTGCTTCTTTTCTACAACTGATAAGGATGAGCTATACCTTAACTTGGTCATGGAATATGTTCCAGAGACTGTCTACCGTGTGGCGAAACACTATAGCAGGATGAATCAGCGGATGCCTTTTATTTATGTTAAGCTATACACATATCAGGTGTGGAACTATTTACATTTTATTTGACCATACCGGTAATGGAAACTTGGTTGATGAGCAATTGCTATGTTAAATGTTTCGCTCGTGGATAATTGGCAGATTTGTAGGGCATTGGCTTATATTCATGGGGGAATTGGGGTGTGCCACAGAGACATCAAACCCCAGAATCTACTGGTTTGTGATAGAATCTCAGGACTATTTTTCTTTTCATTATCAAATTGCCTCTCTGCTTCAATCTTTTTTTGTTTTCCAGGTCAATCCTCATACTCACCAGCTTAAACTATGTGATTTTGGAAGTGCGAAAGTTCTAGTAGGTTTCTCTTTTGCTTAGTACTGTTCATAAGATTGTTATTGTTCTTTTGTATGTTTTATTCAATGTACATCATATAGGTTGTTTATCTACAGTTGAAATCCTTGTTTCCATTATGAATCCTTGGTTTTATTGTAAAGGGAATCTATACTATAGTACCTGTTTATATCCTGTAACAACGGACGGTTGGGGGTCTTCATTTTCCACTTAAAGTTGGTCAAAAACTTTGAGCGGAGAAAGACTTCCCCACTTCCCAGTCATGTGCTTCTGTCATTGGATACTCTTGGTATCTGTTTATGTCCATGCATGAACTAAACAGGTGTCATTGTATATTTCTCCAGTTAATTTTATTGTGCACATCCTTATTTCTTTTTTGGTCTATAATGCATTTTGCATTTATCAAATGAAGATGGATTGGCAGTTTGTGCTGCCCTGATGTGCGCACACACGCATACATTCTATCAAAAGTTTAGAGAACTTTGTGCTTTGTCGTTTCCTGAAATTTTTTAATCTTCTGATCCATATTAGCCCTCAAAACTCTCTATGTCCCTATTTCTACAAGGAATAAAAAGCAGATTATGATACGTTAGGCTTCACTTATAGAAGAAGACTGAATATTAAAAAGTAGAAAATTCAAACATAGTTCTTTGAAACTTTTTGATGGGCCCTTTTTACCCTAAAGGATGTAGCTGCAGCCAAATATACCATTTATTTAAATGGACTGTCCATTCAAATGATGTCGTAAATGGGTCAAGTCATACTTGGTGACACCAGCCATGAGAGTTCTCCCTTTTATTGTCGGTTTTGTACTCCCTTTGTGCCCCATCTCTCTCTCTCTCTCTCTCTCTCACTCTCTCTCTTGCTCTCTAAACTTTCAACCAGTGGTCATCGGTTGCTTCCTAAGATGCATTATCTCCACACCTCTTCTATGACCCAGCTCTTTAGCCTGAGGTGCCAGGCTACCATTATAGCCTCTTTCAGGCTCAGGTGGGTTGAGCCTCTTCTGAGGAAAGAGTTTGAATTTGTGCTGGACTTTGATTGTCATAGTGGAATATGAGAGCAAGGCAACTGGAAGAGCCATCACCACCATATTGTTTACTCTTTCTACTTGTTATCTGCTCAGAGCTTCTTATTCCCACCATCGTTCTGCATGTTTTTGATTGGGATATGGCACTTGAGGGGATTTGGAGTTCTTTATCCTTTACAAATTCACACTTTTGAAATAGGCTTAAATACCAATGAATCACAATTAAAGATGGTTCGACCAAAAATTGCATAGAATTTTCTTGTGAGCTCTGGTCATTCTCTAATGCTTCCTGAATTGGAGCAGGAAATTGATGGATTTCTTCATAGAATTATTGTTTTGGAGACATGATTCATCTCTGAATGTCAGCTCAAACTTTTGAGATCAATTATTGATAATTTCGGATGCGCTTTGTAGAGCATGCTGGATTTTTTATTTTTGTTGAATATTAACTTTACTTCGTTAAATCAAGAGATGAATATACATGTATATGGCATGTACAAAATTAAGTATGTTGAATGAGACCTGAGTGTCAAAGGGTGTGATCTCTAACGATGATTTTGGATCCCATCCCTTGCTAGGGAGCCCAACGCCTTGTTGACTCTAGATAACACGAAAGCTAAGGCACATGTATCTTCCAGCTCATTCTGGAAGCCAAAAAGAATGTTCAGAAAAAGGGAGGAAATGGGAAAGTCTCCAAAGATTAGGGCATTTGCAGATAAGTCTCCAAAGATTAGGAGCTTCAATGGCCGAGTCTGTGAACAGGGAACAGTGCTTGCTGTATCATGCCATGATTTGGATGGACTTAAAGATAGAACTTGAGGAACCATGATGATATCAAAAAACTTGGCTTCTTTTGGATTTCAAGGAGAGAGGACCATGATTGAATTGCAACAACCGATCAGATATCGATGATAAGTTCATGGGAGGATAACAAAAAAAAAAAAGGAAAACAGATCAGAGATCCCAAGCTAGAAAGAGATAATCTTTTGCTGGAAGATCGAGGCTTATAGGATGGTGAGATAGATAGGGTCAGATAGGTTCATGAGAGAGAGAGAGAGAGAGAGAGAGAGAGAGAGAGAGAGAGACGTAGAG